TGCTTAAAGATACCAAAGTTGGCAGCATCGCCAGACTTGTTGTCACCGTAGGGATAGTCGGTAATCATGTGATCGCTCTCGAGCATAGCAATAGCGATATCCCAAACTCCACCACCAGCTTTCAAAATTTGTTGCTTTCTCTTACCCAAGCCATTAACAGTATAGTGGCCTCTATCGCCGGGTCTAGCAGAGACCAAAGTAAAGGTAAAGAAAAGGAAAAGAGCAAAGAACTTGACGAGCATGTTGAATTGAATGTAGAAGACTGAACCAAATATGCTTCTCTATTTATACTTCTTGAACTCTGACGATAGCCATGTGTACAACTGTCTATAATGGATGAATGCGTAAGCTCATATCAATATTAATATATTACACTGAAACAAAGTTTCATAGTTGGGACTGGATACTAAAGTTAATGACAAGCAACTATAATGTCGATGTGTTACTTGCCTCTTTTTTTGTTATAAGATGATCAGTTCTTGACTATTAAGGCACTGACAACGGTAGCGGTCTTGTAACTTGCATAGCGTGATAAATTAAGTGAATTTACTTTCCGGAAAGAGTGTAACAAGTTTATCATCAAGAAGTGTCGCACAAATATGAATTCTTAATAATGAATTGAGTTACATTGAAGCCTATGCATTACAGACGATGTATCCATAGAAGCCATAGTTAAGTTAATGATTGACTAACGCGGTCATATTACATTATATTATCATTAATAGTCTATAAGTGGATATCACCGTTGGAGTTTGTAAAAGAAAAAAATGCATCGAATGAGAATATACCGAAACATTTAATTTGCAATATGCCTCTTTGTATTACTTGAAATCAACCTAAAGCGAAATATATCAAAAACCGAAACTGCTGGAATATATCGTAGATAGAAACTTGCAAAGAAAAAAAAAACTTGGGTAGCACGCTTTAATCTGAATAGATGCCTATCAAGATTTTTAATAGCCATTTTTGATAGTAGTAGATGCCATTAATTCGCATTGGTGACAAACAATGCTTTATCTGAATTAGTTTTTAAATGAATATGTAACCTTTCAAATTTTCCCGCTCTAGTTTTTTCAGTAACGATCCCTCATTGTCCCTTCGCACTCTTTCAGTTACGTAAGCGGGAGAAGTGTCTGATGATGTAATGTATTATGGCCATGATGATAATTATGATAAGTATATCTTTATTATTCTGAGAAATGAATGATTTAGATAGGGGTAACATTGACCCAGAATCTGGTATCGTCCTTCAAGTACTTGGGATCGCTGGCAAGTTGGTCCTGAATCCAGCTAACACCGCTTTTGTAGGTGTTAATATCGACTGTATCGGGGTTGTTCAAGCCGCTTTCGCCGTTTCTATGGCCACCGAACCATTTTTCAGTTCCATAGAACTTTTGAGACTCATGTCTAGCTTTGATATCGGCCTTAAGATCCTTATTAAGCACAGCACCGTCGTCGGAATCACTAGCAGGTTGATCCTTGAATTGAGAAGTGGAGGTACGAAGCATAAACCAGTTTTGCTTAAAGATACCAAAGTTGGCAGCATCGCCAGACTTG